CTTGTAAATGTCAGGATGTAGCTGGTTAACTCTGTTTCTAGATTAAAGATTCTCAAAATGTGGTTCTGGGATAAGTAGCAGCCACATCCTCACTGAAAACAATGGGAAAACCTGGATAAAATGCAGATGTGGATATTGAAAAACTTCCAAGATGGGCAGAACTTGAGTGGTCAAGATTAAGAGAGGAGGACATTTGTGGATGTGAGTTTTATATTCTGAGCTCATCACCCCCTTGAGGCATTTGCTAATTCTTATGCATCACAGACAGGTTGAGCAGCACAGAAGAAAGCAGTTGCTAGGAGGCTTTCAGCAATCTCCCAGGGCTGGGAAGAACAAATGTGAGTTGAGGGCTTCTTACACAGCCAGGGCTTCTGGTGCTGAGATCCCAGAAAGAAGGCATGTTCAGTGTAGTGAGTCCAACTAGCCAATCTGCTTGTCCCCCTAAAGCATTCCCTAAGTCCTCAGCTGTGCCGCTGGGGAGAAGGTCAGTAGAAAGTGGTAGCAGAGAGGCTGTGGAGCTAAAGAGCTTTTGAGCAGTCTCCCAGTGTGAAAAATAAAAGTTGCATTTGAAGGGCCCTGGTAAATTCTCAGAGCTCTAAATTGGAACTCCCATAGGAACAAGGAAAAGTAGAAATAGACCAGGAGTTACAAAGACAAATCTAGTATTAAAACAACTTAATTAAGATGATCTATCCTCACTCTAACTGGCTACAAGAACTAGATGTCTTTCAGAGTGTCTAGTTTTTCATCACACGATGTCCAGCATTCCATCAAAAAGTACCATTCATATCAATAATCCAGGCAATAGAAACAGACTTCTGGGTAATACAGATATTGGAGTTATCAAATACAGATTAGACATAACTGTGATTAATATATACATAAAACAGATGACACAGTGGTGAACGTCACAGATAAGTGGAATCCATGAAATAGAACCAAATGGAAATTCTAGGATTAAAATATATAGTAATTAAAACTTAATTATGATGATTAAATGATTAGCCAAAGCTGAAGAGAGATTTAGTGATCTGGATGTAGGTCAGGAGAAAATATTCAGATTAAAATAAAAGAGAACAAAGAATAAAAAATAAAAAGAGTATAAGAAAAACGTGGGACACAGCACAAACATCGAACATGTGTAATTGGAGGAGAGAAGAAGAGAGAGAGAAAAAAGGCACAGAATATTTGAAAAGACAGAATTTTTCAGAACTTAATAAATAAGCCATGGGTTCAAATATCACCATAAACCCCAGATGGGATAAATGCACTGAAAACACAGCTAGGAACATCATTGTGAAAATGCTTAAATGAAAAGGCAAAGAGAAATGATTAACATTAGCCAGAGGTAGAAAGACACGTTACTGTCCAAGGAGCAGTAATAACACAAAGAGCGACAGCAGATTCCCCAGGAGAAATGATGGAGGTCAAAAGACAATGGAAGAGAAAGTCACCGCTAATCTAGAGTGTACGTCTAGTGAAAACATTCTTCAAAACATGAAGGTAAAGATATTTTCAGATAAATAAAAACCTAAGAATTTTCCCAGTAGGCCTACACTAAAATACTAAAAGGAGTTAGTTGGCAGGAATGTACTGATAGCCAGAAGCATTAAAAATGCACAATGGAATGAAGAACAAATAAAAGAGCAAATATGTGGATAAATCCAAAACAAATATTAAGTGCATTGATCTAAGTATATTTTGAAGCATTTAAAATATACGTAGAATTAAAGTTTGTGACAAAAATAATGCAAAAAATGGTAAGTGGAGATAAGTATTCTCCTTGCGTTATTCAGGAAATGGCAAAAGTACTAATTTTAGGTTATAGGAAGTCCAAGATGCATACTGTAGTAGTCTCTAATATAACCTTTAAAATAATATTAAAAATACATAATCCATGATCTAATAGAGGGGGAAATTGAATGAAAAAAAAACTTGCTCAATCCAAATAAAGTGAAAGAAAAGAAAAGTTAGGAAGTGGTAAAAGTATTAATTTTAGGTGATGGTAAGTCAAGCATATATATTGTAGTCTCTAATATAACCTTTAAAACAATATTCAAATACATAATGATCTAATAGAGGGGAAAATGGAATGAAAAAATACTTGCTTAATCCAAATAAAGTGAAAGAAGAAAAAAATGAGGCACGTGAGACAAATGGAAAATAAATAGTGACATCATACATACAAACCCAGCTATAGGACTACTTATATTTAACAGAAAAGGATGAAATATGCCGATTAAAAGACAAAAGGACTGGATTTCTAAAAATGTGCTCCTGTATATTACCTAATATATATATACACACACATATATACATATATATATTAAATATAACATTACAGTGAAGTTTAAAGTAATAGGATGGAAAATGATATACCATGCAACCTTTACCAAGAGAAAGTTAGTGTGGCTCTGTTAATACCAGACAAAATGAATATACAGCAAGAAGAAATACTACAGATAAAGAGGAATATTTCATAACAAGAGAGGCTGAAATCCACCAGAAAGACAATTTAGTCTGTAGGACCCTAGCAACATAGCTTTGAAACATACAAAGGAAAATAGAGAGAACTAAAGAAACAAATCACTTGCATTCAGAGTGGAGTCTTTTCCTCACCTCTTTTGACATTTGATGACTGAAGAGCAATGAGTAAGGAGATATTTTAACCACACAATTAACAAACTTGACCTGACTGACTCTATGGGATCCCACCCCCCAAAACTGCAGAATACACCGTCCTCCCAAGTTCCAAATGGAATTTTTACCAAAATTGGCTGTATGTTTGGCCATAAATCAACTCTCAAAAATTTTCAAAAACCTGAAATCATACAGCGTACATTAATATGTTTCACCATTGCCTCCCACCCATAACATATAATAGGGGACCACTCTGGCCACAGTTCCCACCTGGGTGGCGGAGGCCCCCTGACGCTCACCCACCCCTGCCCTGGCACCTTTGGGACACTTTCTTCCTGGAATGCCCATCCTAGTACGTGTGGGTGGCCACTTCCCCCTCACAGGCACATCTTTAACACCCCTGTAAGCCAGTTCATCACTTGCCGTGGGGTAGCCATTATTAACATTGATGTTTTTCCTCGTCAGCTTAGTTCCCGACTCTGTCTTAAGCCTCCTGGGAACAGTGACGGTGGGTCCCAAACAGCAAGAGGGGCGTGCTTGAGCCCTGCACAGCAATCATTGACCTGGAGACCCAACATGTTCCCTAACAATGACGGTGTGTCCTGTACAGCAAGAGGGGCGTGCTTGAACCCTGCACAGCAGTCGTCAATCTGGAGACCCAATGTGTTCCTTTGGCTGTTTTCAGTGCCATCCCTGAGAGAGGGAATATTTTGATGTGATCAAACTATTAAATCAACGTCCAGCTTTTGAAGACTGTGTAATCAGGGATCTCATGTGGTCGGGACAGAGAACAGAGAGTGATCAAATCAATGACACTTTTTATGTTTTGTCTTCTCTGGGTCAGCACTGCTCTGCCAAGGGGGACAAACCCTGCAAGGCCCTGCTTGGAAAACAATGATGCCATTGACAATTAAAACATCCAGCAGCAAGGACCTGGCCTGGGGCACGGTGTCAGGTCCGCAGCAGGCCACGTGACGGTCTGGCAGTGGGCAGTGGGTGAGCCACTGAATACCGCTGAGCCCCAGGCCCACTCATGTGGAGTGGAGGCGATGCCTGCCTCCCGGCCTTGCTGTGAGAACTTGGTGGACCGCTGTGCATGGAAACAACTTATAAACCACAGAGTTTACTAAAAATGCTTTGTGAGATCCATGCAAAAGCAGAAAAATAAAAACTGCAAGCACACAAAGAAAGAACTACGCAGAGCTGTCCCTGTATTATTAGAGAGGCTGCAACATGGTTTAGTAGACACAGGATAGCATTGGGCATCAGAAATAACTGCATCCTGCCCTGCCACCGACTTACTCACTAGCAAGTCATGTGTCCTCACTGCCTCGGTTTCCTCATGTGGAATTGAGGGATTGCATGAAAGGCCTCAAAGGGCCATTCCAACACAAGCGTTCTCTGATTCCAACCCCTCAGTCCTCTGCAGTTGCCTCGAAGACACCATAGAAAGAGGGCATAGGATGTTTGCATCTCTTAGGAAGAGAGCACAGCCAGCAGCCACAAGTACAATGGCAGCATCTGATTCTGTTTCCAGCTGCCTTTGAAAATGGTGTTATTAATAGAAAGGACACCAATCCACTGCTAAACTGCGCAAAAGGCACGGAAGTCCTCCATCCAGGATCGTTCTCAGACGCGATCCACGAGCTTCTCCAAGCCGGCTGCCTTTCTAGAGAAGTGGGAATCTTTCCAGATGGTCACCTCAATGAGTCCAACAGAGGTTGCAGCCCGTCCACCGTCAGAATCAGTTTGGATAAGAAAAGTTGCCCAAGATGTGTCCTGGTCACCCCCAGCCCCTACCCCCAGGTAATGCTGTAGGTCACACACACCACCTGGAGCAAACCTTCACCTTCCACAACACACAGTCCCAGCCAGCATTCCCAAGCTTGGCAAACGTTCTGAAGCAATGAGGCTTCGTGTGTGCGCATGTGTTGTGTGTGTTGCATGTGTGCATGTTGCACATGTGTGCATATTGTATGCATGTACATTGCATGTGTGTGCATGTTGCATGTGTGTTTGTTGTATGCATACACATGTATGTCCGTGTGTGCATGTTGTATGTGTGTACGTGTTATATGTGCATGTGTGTTGTGTATGCATGTGTTATATGTGTGCGTGTGTGTTTTGCAAGGCATGGCAGCAGGGAAGAGATTCTCAGGCCTTCGTAGTCTCTGTTCCTCGTGGACGAATTCTTTATGTGCTCTGAGATTATGTTATTTGTAGACAGAATATTCTGATGCTGTTATTTCCAGGCTCAATATGTTTTTTGTTTCTTGTTTTCTTTTTCTTTTTTTTTTTTAAACCCAAATCCCACGCACCCTGTGGTTTAACACTGAAATAAACCAACTCCAATTGGGATTGTGTGAATAAACAATTTTCCTTTATGTGGAATGGTTCAGAGAATGTGGGCATGTGCACACAAGTGCCCTGTTCCAGAGGCTGGTGCGTGGGGGTTCTAGCAGGCTCGTCTCCTGTGCAGGGGCTCTGGGGCTGTGGCCTCACTGACTGTCTCGGCTCCTCCTCTGAGCGCTGGTCCTCTGCTGCTCGTTATGGAAAATGTTTCCTGTGTAGAAAGAGGAGATTTTGAGCCTGGCAGTGTGTGGTGTGAGGGAGATGTGGACACTGGCAGGATCAAGGGACACCAGGGGACAGGAGGAACCAAGCCCTCAGTTATGGAGGGAGGGGAGAGCCCCGTGGATGTATCCAAGGCAGGAGGACGGAGGGGGTGCTGGCTGCCTCAGGCTGCCTTTGGCTCTCCCCGCAGGGCCACCCTGTCCAGAGTAATTTCCCCTGCATTCTCCCTCAAAACCCATCGACAACTCCAAGCTTGGCAGGGCTGGGCCAGTCCTCCTCCTCCCCTCACAGTGGCCGGCTGTGGATCTCATTCCTGGGATGTCAGTACCAGGAGGTTGGGGACTCCTGGTTCTTCACTGTCCAACACTGCCAGGGCTCTAGAAGTCCCCACTGTCACCTCTGGGGCTTCTGTTGCCGACAGCCGCACCTAGAGGTGCTGGTGACGGACAGGAGCTTCATCAGTGGAGAGGCCCCATCTTTTGCTGTCTGAGTTATAGGAGAATTTGTGGTTTTCCCTGCAGAACAGTCAGGTCCCAGGGAACTGGAGCCTTGACAAGGTCAATCATGAAATTGTATCGGAAGCAGCAGAGGTTGTCCTGGACAGTGGCACGGTCTGGGAAATTGGCCGTAGCTTGAACAACCGCTCACTGCCCTTTCCACACCGTGTGTACTGGCCTGGTCCCTGCTGCTGGGGGCATGTGCCGACCTTGTGGCCTGGGGTTTTGTGGTCTGACTGGGACTGACACTGGCCTGGCAAAGTTGGAAGGCGCTCCAGATGGAAGGTCGCAGGCTGCGTGGATGGGCATATACTGCAGGGTATGGGGGGAGGGTCTGGGCACGCTGGGCCGCCATGTGAATCAGGGATGCCAGGAGGACAGGAGGGCTGTCAGCCTCACCCAGGGCTGGCTCCCAGGTGTTCTAGAAAGCTCCAAGGAGAAGCCTGGGGCCAGGGGCAGAAGCCACAGGATCTGCATGGCCAACCCTTAGCAGGAGGGCAGTGGTGGAGCTGTATGAACAGGGAGTGGAGCAGGGCTGGACTGGGGGTCCTCACCCCATGAGAGGGTAGGGGGCTTCCTGACCGGGGTGTGGGGGCCCTTCCTGGGCCTGTCACAAAGGAGCAGGCTCCTGCCACCACGTGGTTGGGACCCTTGTGTGGGTGGGTGGCGGCAGTCTTGTGAGTCCTGATTATTCTTGGGAAAATGGGGACTGGTCCCTTGCTCCGTTCAGCTGAAAAGGGAGAGCACTCCCTCACTGACAAGGGCCTTGACTCCTTGAATTGGACTTGTCCGGTCAGGTGTCCACCCATCAACGGCTGGACAGGGGCTCCTGTGGAGCTCAGGTGGGTCCACCTGGGGGCTGGGCTCACCTGCTCTCCCTGGAGCTGCCCGGTGACACACCTGTCCCTTGAGCAGGAAAAAAAATCCCCAAATAAGAAGACATTTATCTATTATTTCCAATCTACCTGAAGATCTTCCAATATTTTGAAGGATTTTGTCCAGAAAGGATAGATTTTCATACTCAGTGTTCTTTGAATTCGTCTTTTCTGTGGGGAAAACAGTAAGTACAATGATCATGCTTTGTAAATAATTAAGGCGTGATTCCACGTTTTCTTTTAACTTCAGGGAGCCGTACACACTGAGCAAAGCACCCACGCACAGAGCAAGCGAGGTGAGGTGCTGCGGCTTCTCGGGACACAGCCTCAGGCGAGGCCATCAAAACCTTTCCTCCAACAAGCCCCAGAAAGTGTGGCTTGGTGTCCAAGCGATGAGTGGAGTCCTACATCTTTGTGCTTTCTCTGTGTTTTCTCTTTACACTCTTAGGAGATGCTAGCATAGAAGTATCCTGTCCACTGTGTCCTAAGGACTCCCCACCGCCGGTGGTGAGCAGGGCTCCCTTCTGTGGATCTGACACTCGTGGTCACTTGAGCCACAGTCCTTGGACCCGGACACAGGTTTTACAGACACTGAATTTTCCCCGCGTCTCTTCCTGTCCAGCCCTTTCTACCAGTAACTGTGCTGTGTGGTCCCGACGCTAGTACAGAAGCATCCTGTCCACTGGGTCCAATGACTCTGCATCATTGTGCAGTGCAGGGTCTCTCTCAGACCTGAGACACTGTGGTCATTTGTTTGTACAAAACTCTGATCTGACAGGCTTTACATGCACTCAACTTCTTGAACTTCTTCCTGTCCAGCCTTTACCAGTAACTGTGCTGTAATCTCATTGCCCAGGGAGTTCTGCCCAGCCCTTTCTTTACCAGTAACTGTGCTGTGTGGTGCCCCGCTGCTCAGGGAGCCCATTCAGAGGGAGTTCCTGTCCAGCCCTTTCTACCAGTAACTGTGCTGTGTGGTGCCCGCTGCTCAGGGAGAGATGCAGGTAGCGTGGGGTGGCATCGGTCCAGGAGCAGCTCCAAGCCCCCCCAAACCGGCCCTGGTCGCTGCAGCTGGTGGGTGGGGGCTCCCTTTGAAGCAGCCCCCAGCCTGGGAGGTGCCCTTTCCTAGTAGGGGGCACCCTGCAGAGAACCCTAATCCCCTTCCTTTATTTCCTCTTCTTACTCTCAAAGTACACCAGGAGGACCCACCTCTCTTTAGTTCTCCCAAAACTCTGTGCAGGTGCAACCTGGAACCCTTAAAAATACTGTTTGGTCATCTGCATTTTGTGAACGCATGAATAATGACTACTGTTGACGGGCCTGGCCCCTCAGTCTCCTTTCTTGGAAACAAGAACCCCTTATGTATCCCTGCTGAGCACCTAGCAGGCTCAGCAGGGATTGCAGAGTAAATGTCTCTTGTTGACATTAATGTTACAGGAAATGAATGATTATTACCTGAATTTGTATATGTCCCATGGGATACTTAGATTTACCAGGTCCTAAAGTCTTAAACTGAAGTTTAGGCACAGTCAGTATGTCAGGAATGATATTATGAACCACAAAGCTTTTCCTACTCCCAGAAGTCACGGATTACATGGGGAAGTTGGGTTTTCTGGCAACAAAGAAGGGAGGGTAGTTACAGATCTATTTTCCTCTTAATCCATTTTACATTAAGAGGAACGTGGATCTGCAAACATTCATTAAAGGCTGCAGGCATCCCTAAAGGCTGCTTCCAGCTTTAAAAACATTTATCTAAATTAATATTAGGTGCTCAGTTTATATATTTAATAAGGATACAAGCCCATGGAACAATTTTTAAGGTTTAGAAAAGACGTTCAGTGAAACATCAGGCTGTTTCCGGTGGTTGGCCCTCACTACCAGTTTCCTCCTGGAGGCTACAACTGTGACCCACTTTCCTGTGTATCTTTCCAGGGGTAACCTACACCAGAGAGATTGCTGCCAATTTCACACTCAAAATGAATTCGCACAGTGCTTTTTTAGAGAAGAGTCCTTAGAAAATTTTGGCAGATAATTCAGGTTAGCTATTTGTGGAAACGTATGTAATTCATCATTTAATACAAAACAGTTTATCTTAAATTTGCTTATTTGTAGAGTGTACTCTCTAGCCCTTGGGAGTCCCAGGGAAGCGTATATGATGCTAACATTTCCCCGTGCCCTATGTATGTGTGGTTTCATTCGACCGTAGGGCACCTGGTGAAGCCCGTGGGTAATACTTAGTCTTCATGTGTAGATGAGGCCCCAGTGAGGCAAAGCACCTTCCTAAGATCACTGAGGTTGTATGCGGCCGAGCTGGGAGAACCCAGAGGCCATCACCCCAGTCCTCGCTTTTCCTTCCAGAGTTGAAACACAGAGCTTTTCAGAGTTCCAGGATTCTCAATGGAGCCACATGGGTAAAAATCTAGTATTTGAATTTTTAATGTCTGGAAAGGATGGAGTAACAAGGATGAGACTTATACTCCCAATTTAATTAAAAAACAAGAAAAAATATATGAAACAGTGATTTCCCATGTATCAGAGAATAAGCAGCAAAGGCCAGTGATCTATTGAGAGATGGAAAGCAGCTGAGTGCAGCCCTAGGATTGCTTCAGGCATTGTCTGGGGAGTTTCCAGGGCAGCATTAGGAGTGAGAACTTAGGCAGAGCCCAGTGATCTCAATATGCTGAGGGGTTTGGAGAGGTCAAAGTAGCTAGAGTTCAAAGGACAGAGTGAGAGATACACACACACAAACACACACACACAGAGAAAGAACATCTTACAGAGACCTATGGAGAAGAGCTTGTGAGTACAAGCTCCCTTGTGCCTGGGGCCTTTGGATTTTTCAAATGCATGTGATATCCCACACTTGGCTATGAAAAAATTCAGTGGTTACTTCTTACCCACTTGTATGGTGGTGACCTGTTTTTCTCCTGCTTGACCAAAAATGAGAAAGCTCATGTGTTCCAGCTCTGTTTGGGTAGCCTTGCCTCTCTTTTGAATTCTGCCTAGTTAACTACCCTGCTACTAGAATGTTCTTATGGGCTCAAGGAAAGCCTTGGTTGATGATCCCACTTTTTATTATTAGGGTGAGAGTAGCATTTTTGTTTTTTTTTTTTGAAACAGAGTCTTGCTCTTGTCACCCAGGCTGGAGTGCAGTGGCATGATCTCAGCTTACTGCAACCTCCGCCTCCTGGGTTCAAGTAATTCTCCTGCCTCAGCCTCCCAAGCAGCTGGAATTACAGGCACCCACCACTGCCTCTGGCTAGACAGTAACAGTTTTTTTTTTTTTTTTTTTTACAGCATTCTAAGTGGAGGTAGAGAACCTGAAACATACTTATGTCGAATGCTGTATCAGAGTGTTCAATTATCGGAAGTTCTTGAAGTCTAGTAATGCTGTTATTTTGCCTGCTGCTTATTATCCATGGCGTATTGCTTCCCATCAGTTAGTGTTTTGAATTATAAGCTCACCTTTGGCAGAGCTGTTGTCTGTGAAAATCCTGTGAAGCCCAAGTTAAGGGAATCGTTCTTTACATCAAGTGTGTATTTGCTTCCACCAAGTGCCCTCTGACCCGGGGTGTAACCACATGAGACTTCCTGTCATGCTGGTTTCACAGATGAGCTATTCCAGAATACACAGAACTTGAAGTCCCCATGTGGTGCAGGCTGACACAGACGGATTTCCATCTCCCTGTGCTGGTAGATGGTTTTTTATCTACACTATCCTTTTACTGAGGGTGTAGTCTTGTTAGCAGTCATAGCATTATTCAGGGATTTAATTTGCAACACTTTTCTTCCCTAGGCCTCATCTTCTGCAAATAAACTCTAACAGCCAAATTTCTATATTTCATAAAGGAAAATCACAGTTGAGGATTGTTCTGCAATTAGATCTGTAACTTACTGCTCTGGATTTTAATTCTCTCTTGGTTTTCTAGCCCTGAAGATTTCCTTTACTTTGCTGTCAGATCATAATAGACATTTAAAAATGTTTATTATGTTTTATCTAGAATTTGTAAAGATTTTCAACTTATATAGTTTTCAACATTGGCAAACACAAATAAGTAAATTGAATCTTCTAAGTCCTTTGATTTGATTTCCATGTGACTGAAGACTATGGCAGCTGCCTAGGCCTGTGTCTCCCAATATTTCCTCAAAAAATGACACAGAAAAACAGGAAAGAAAAATAAGATTACACAAAACTAGACATTCAGGCATAACCTAACTATAAGATACTCAAGTATCAAAATAACAGTAAGTAAAAAATAAAAAATAAAACTTTCAAAGTTATAGTGAAGAATCTTTGCTCCTGCCCTACATCCACTCCATGCAATGTTTGTTGATGAGCAATGGCAGGTTGAGATAAAACAGTGAGAAAAGTGAGTTAGAAAAAGCCTAACATTGATCTGAAAACTCTGTCAGAATAAGCAAGTCCACTGTAAGACTGAAAATACTAAATATGGGTCCTGGTAGATCAGAGAAAGGTCTACAGAGAAGGAACATAAAAAGCACATGTGAATTTTATGTATCAGTCTTCAAAATGCATAACACCTGAGAAAGAGAAAAAGACCCCCCCCCAAAAAAAAAAAAAGAAAAGGAAAAAAAAGGAGTAGGCTCCCTTTAGAAATTGAAGGACAAAAGACAAAAGTAGCAAAAGGGGAACATGTATGGTCCAGTAAGATTATAAAAAACCAAAAAAATCAGAGGATACACTTATTTTTCTTGTACCAAAGCAATCAAAATATTCACTAAGAATCAGTATTTTTCTATACTGATATAACTTAAATGAAAACTGAATAAAAGGTAGAAAAGGCAGAAAAACAAGAAAATGTAATGAAATAAAGAGATAAGTAAAACATGAATGAGGAAATAATAGCAAAAGTATAATAGAGGCAAAGAAGAAATAGCATCTGTATAATTGGTGTAATTGAAGAAAACAGCAGCATTAACTATGGTATAGAACTAATATTTAAAGTTATAATTAAGATAACTTTATAGAAAAATAATAGGTGAGTCTAATTTTGAAAGGATCCATTTTGTATCTGGGAAAATTAATACCAAGATGTATCCTAGTAAAAACATTAGATTTCGAAGATAAAACAACCAAAAAAGCAAGGCAACAATGCAGCAGCATTCTCTATCAACTCAATGAAAAAACAAAGTGTAAACCAAGGATTTTATAT